CACAGTGCATAAAATTCTTTCAGAAAGAAAGAAAGAAAAAGAAGAAAAGAAAAACGTCTTTCCAAATGTGTGAAAAACCACTGACCATATAAAGGGTTGAACGCTGCTGCTAGCTCAAAGTCTGGCATTGCCAGAAAGCCCCTGAGTTCAGCGCTAAAATAACGGACTCCCTTCCTCAGCTGGGTCCCCGCCTCTCTGCCTGATTTGGGGAAACCCCAGATCCTCAGTAGGATTACAGGCCCAACCCTTTCCCATAAGAAACCCGTCCAGTGTGCACCCGGGGATTCCAGGAAACACCCTCTCCATGCTGGTGAGATGTCTTGGTACCATGGCTCTCAGCCAAGGACGCTTTTCCATCCTCAAGTTCTCCCCCACCTCCACCCTGCTGCCCATAGGATAATGAAGTCCTGTGTTCCCTTCTTAAGACAGGACTGTGCTGCTGCATGTAAGTATCCGAGCACTCCTAGCCCTATCGAACCAAACACACTCACCCCCAAACCCTCCCATTGCCCAACTTTTATAAGTCCCTGTTTCTCATGAAATAGGGGGGCAGCCATCTTCTATTTCACCATGATCACCTGAGACTCATCATTTATTCTGGGGAAGGGCCCCCCTCTTCCCTGAAGGATTTGTGACTGGATCACCAGGCTTGGCTTATGACAAGGCAGCCTTGGTTGCCTTGGTCACTGCTGAAGCCTGCCTGCCTGCTCCGAGCTCAGTGACTGTCTAGGGGAACCCGAAGCAGCCGCTCGACCTGCATTCCAGAAGTGAACCAATGAGCCACTGTGTCCGCCTGCACCCTCTGCAGTTAGCACCTGACTTAACCAAAGGCTGTGACACTGGCCATCGCCATCAGCTTGGGAACTCCTGAGTTTCTGCTGCTGTCTGGAACGATTTCATTAAAAAGAGTTAACTGTAACAGAGTGGGAAACCTTTCCATACCCGGGGTGAGGCCGGAAGTCTTTCACAAGGACTGGACCTCATTCTGCGAGCCCTAGCTGTTCCTGAAGGAAGCGGAACCTGAGACTCCACGAAGCCGGCAACGCTTGCACTGTCCTGAGACAGAAGTGTGTCCTCCTGGCGCTGTGCTGGACAGCAGCGGCCGGAAATGCAGGACGACAGTAAACCTGCCAGAAAATAATGCAGGAAATATCTTTGCCAACTTGTGGCTGGCAAAACCCCACAAAACACAAAGTGAGACAATCATAAACTAAACTTTTCCCAAATAAAATATGTTTTCTGTTTTAAAAAGGAAAAGGAAGAAGCCACCGTGTAGGTGAAATTCTCTCTCTTATACTCCTGTATCCAAGGGCTGACTGGTACTCAGAATAAAGACCCAACAAGGTCACAACTCGCAAGCTCATGAGGGCATGTTGAGAAAATGGAAAGATCCTTCATTTTATTACTCATCTGAGACATGAAAAGATGCCGTTATAAGCACTGAAAGGAGCAAAGTGAGAAAGCCTGACGCCAGGTTTATCAGTTTGTCTTAGGTACTGTTCCATTGCTGTGAAGAGACACCATGGCCGAGGCAGCTCTTATAAAAGAAAGCATTTAACTGGGGGCATGCGTATCAGTCCAGAGGGTCAGTCTGTTATCATCATGGCAGGGAGCGTGGTGTCATGTAGGCAGAAAGACATAGTGTCGGAACAGTGGTTATGCCCAAAGACCACCACGGAGCCGATTCCCATGCAAACAAATGTAGTAGGGTGTTTCTTACAAGCCTGAGCTGCCACTGGCACAGTGGTTCTCTAGTGTAGAGCCCCAAGCTTGGGGGAGGGGGAGGTGTTATTGAGGGTTAGAGCAAGGTTTGGGAAATTCCAGCTTGTCAGTTTTAGGATTGAGTGACATTAGGCAAGTATCGGGTGTCTAGAGGGCTAAACCGTTTTACTCATCCTATTGTAAAGAATGCCCGGGTAAACTTCAGCTATTGGCTGATTAGCCGTTGCTGGGGGTGATGGTTAAATATTCCTGGCGGTGAATGGTCGAAGCACATTTCTGTGGATTTTGCTCCTTTTTGAAACTAGAGTTTATGCCCAAGTCATTTACCCTTTCTTTTTCAGAAATGGTGTTTCACAGGCCTCACAGCAGATCCACAGGCAGCAGGCAGAGGGAGACAGTCTTGGTGTTAGGTTTTGAGATCTCAAACCACTCTGATTCCCCCGATGGCCTCCCTGGCAACACCTCATCCAACAAGACCAAGCTTCCTAATCCTTCCCAAACAGTTTGTCAGCTAGGAACTAAGCGTCCAAATCCATGAGCCCACGGGGCCATTCTCATTCAAACCACCATACATCGAAAATTAACTGGGACATTTCACTCTTGAGGCAGGAATATAAAATTATAAGGCCACGTTGGAAAACAATCTAGAATTTTCTTAAAAAGTGAAGTGTACACCACTGTACAATCCCATATATACACAAGAAAAATGAAAGCCTATGACCATAGAAACACTTTCACACAAGGGCTGGAGGGACAGCTCGGAGGGTAAAGATACCTGCCACCAAGTCTGAAGCTCTGACTTCAGTCCCTCAGACTCACACGGTGGAAGGAAGAGCGCTGCAAGCACTTCTGCAGCCTTCACACATGCAGGGACACAAGCGGGATCATCGCTCCTACCAGCGCACACACAAAATAGATGGCTAAAAGTGCAGCAAACAAAAAGTCCTTCTAAGCTGGACTCGGAAACCTAAGCGCACCTCCAACAGTGGATGCACAGACACTCTGCAGAGTGTCCGTGAAAGGACTCAACTGGTCACCAGTAAGGAATGACACAGAACAGCTGTTACCCAAAGGAAAAAGGTGCGGAGTACAAAACAAGGACAAGGCTGAATATCATTAGGCTGAATGAAGGAAAGCACACCCAAGATCTAGATGCCACTGAGAGAGGATGCAAAGCGTCCCTTACAGGTAAAGAGCATAGTGGTTGCCCAGAGCCAAGGGCAGACGGGGCAATTGTCTAAAGGACAGGAAGTTGTCGGGGGCTCTGGAAACGTCCTGTGGGCGTTTCTATTAGGGTGGTGACTTCTTGAATATATACAACTGTTATAACTCACTGGGTTGTATATTTTAGATGGGTTCAGTTTGAGGAACATAAATTCTGTATCCATAACTTTTATGACGAAAGATGAGCAAGGCCTTGCTCATTTTGTTTCCTGGCTGCAATCTTCTCCCAGGCAGCACTCAGTGGTTTTGAGGCAGGGATTCGGCATCTGCTCTCTGAAATCCTGCCTATGAAAGCATGGCCAAAAAATATTTACACTCCTACAAGAGTCCCTTAAAGATTTGAAAGAAGCCAGCTATCTCCTGAGTCTTCTCTTCTCTGTATTATAGAGAGCTGGATTTCCTTCCCCTGCCTGTGGTTTTAGTTACTCTTTAAGCTGTAAGCTCCCAAGCTTTCCTATTTTCCCAGGGCAGTTTGTCAACTGTCCTTATAGAATGACTCACCCAAAACTGAAGGTATTGTCAGCTAACCTTTCTCTCCCTCCCCTCTCTCCCCTCTCCTTCCTCCTTCCCCGCTCCTTGGCCTAGAAGTCCCAGGAAGCCTGCCTCTCTCTGCTGCCCAGCTATTGGCTGTTCAGCTCTTTATTTAGCCAATGAGAAGGTGATGGAGCAACATTTGATGTGGAATCGGTTAAATAAAATTGATTTATTGATTAATTGAAAGAAAAAAAAGTGATGAAGAACATGTTTTACAATTTAGAAAATACTGAGTCTGGAGAGATTTCATAATAATGACAATAGCAAAGTCAGACTACAGCTAGATCTCTGGGTGCAGAAACCAGCATTTGAATACACATGCACAAAAAAAAAAAAAAAAAAAAAAAAAAAAAAACGTCGTCCAAAAATCCCATGGGTGCTGGAATCAACCCTGAGGTCTCTGGAAGAGCAGCCAGTGCTCTTTGCTACTGAGCTATCTCTCCAGGTCCTAATTGTTAAATCTTAAGGAAATTAATTATTACAGTATAATGAAGTTTAAATTATTTGACTTAAGATTTTTCTCTATTTTAGAATCCAGAAGTGAAAATAGATAAGAACGTTCTGAGAGATCTTATTCAGAGATGAGCTGCTCATCAGCGAGACCTTAAAAATCGCTTTTGTGGCTGAAAAGGGTTATCGGCTTTGTGTCTGATCTATGTACAGAGTGCACCACAATTTCTACCTCGTGGACCTGGACTTCCCGGCCGCAGGCTGCTCTGAGTCTTGTTGAAGAGGCCAAGAAGCCAAGAAGGACCTGGGGTATGCAAGGCAGTTTCTGTGGAGAGGAAAATTCTGAGCATATGGCGGCATGGACGCTCCGTTGTGGAAAATAAAAGATTAACAAATCTCAGCTGCTCAGAGGCCGCCGTGCCCCATACATGTTTCATGTGATCTGCGCAGACGACTTGTTCGGTGGGCAAAGCTGCCAGGTAAGAGTACACTCAAAAGGAAAGGAAACGCTGTGCATGCTGTGTGTCTACCGTAAATGCGGATACTGCAAAACCAGCGCCAATCTGTTCAAAGCTTTTAAACACCCGCTTTTTCTAACTGAACCATGAAACAACCAAAACCCGCCTCGACGTCAGTTTGAGGGCAACGGAGAGGAGGGCAGCAAGGGCTGGGGCCCCGCGGCGGGCAGGCGCCAGCTCACGTCCCGCGCTCGGACGGTGGCACGGGAGAGCCGGCAGGCGGCAGCACTCGCCCAGGCCTCGGTGCGTCGTCCTAACGCGCGGCTCAGAAGCCCACTCGCGTCGGAGGAAACTCGGGGCTGGGAGGGGCTCGTGGGCGTTGCGGATCCATTCCGCGGAGTTTGACTAAGCTGGGCTGGGGGGGGGGCGTCCGAGGAGCCGGCCAATCGGCGCTCGGCTGCGCGGGCTGGCGGGCGGGGCCCGAGCCTCGGGCCGGCCCGCGAGGGGCCGCCGGGGGGTCGCAAGCGAGCGGGGGGTCGCGAGGGGGTCGCGTGGGGTCAGGGTGAGCGTGGGGTCGCTAGGGGGTCGCGTGGGGTCAGGGTGAGTGCCGCGGGCGCCGGAGGCGTGAGGAAGGGTGGCGAGGGGTCCGGGTGAGCGTGGGCCCGCGCGGGGGGCCGGGGTGAGCGGGGAGAGGGGGAGAGCCGGGGAGCGTGGGCCCGCGCGGGGAGGCCGGGAGCCCGGCGGCAGCTCGGCCGGGCGCCCCCTGCCGGCCGCCTCCCTCGCGGCCCGGCCAGGCGCGGCCTGAGGCCTGAGGCGTGTGGCCCGCGCCCGCCCGGGCGTCCCTGGCATCCCCCCTGCCCCGTGGGGTCCTGCCCCCGCCGGGCGCCCCGCGCCGCGGCCGTCCCCCCAGGGTTTGCTTGTGTGTTTGTACAGGGGCCGCTGTAGCCCGGGCTACCCCCGAATGCCTGGCGACCCTGCGCACTGAGTACGTTTTCAGAGGTGACACTGTAAGGGACGGTTAGCGTTGTCCGTGGAGTTGAGAGGCGAGTTCTACTCCTACAGGCCACGGACCACACGCACAAAACAGCCTTCAGGGTGGAGTGTAAAAGCAGCACAAATTTGTGTTACACAGGGAAAGCTGTTGTTTGTCGTTGTAGCCCAGGCTACCCTCAGCTGACACTGACCTTAGGTGGATCCTCCAGCCTCAGCCTTCGCAGGCTGATCACAGGCTCCCCCCGCCACGCATGGCTCCGAAACAAGAACTGGGTGACACATTGAGAATCTCTCATTATAAACCGAAAATTTTAGTTAAAAACTTACTACCTTACATCAGAATGTGACAAGGTTTATTTTAAGGACTATATCTTAAAAAAAAAAAAAAAAAGATTGATACCATGGAATTTCCAAATTCACCACCATTTAGAACCTTCACGATATGACTGGCTACATGAATCTTGAGGTAGAAAAAATTTTTTAAAATTTAAACTCAACAACTGAGGGGAATCAGTTGTTTTACTTAGAATTATTTTGTAAGTTTATTGCTAGTGCATTCATTCCACAGTGAATTTTTACCAGTCATCATCTCTGTGTCAGGATCTGTTCAAGGTTAGTGAGACACATTAAGAAGAAAAAAAGGAATCCCTTGTTTGCTTTACAGGGAGAAATACAGGGAGAAATGCAGTTACAACTATGTATGAATGTTAGAAAGAAAGTAATAATACATGACAGAGATGGGAATTTTAGATAAAGGGTTTTTTTTTTCATCACCAGAACTAAAATCTATGTGGTGTTTTTATTCTGAACTACAATAAGCTATCCTGACTCTTGTGCTAGAACTAGAAAAAGTGTTCTTGTGACAGTATCTGCTATGTATGTGGGAGGTCTTTTTGCTGTGTGATCTTATTTCCACTATCTTTTGGAATAAAGATCATTTGTGATGGTAATGAGCTTTTCTACTTATTCCAAGGTAGCAGGGCGTATAAGCACGGGTTGATGAGTTTTACCTTATTAACCTTTGATTTATTAAAACACACTTCTGAAAGTAACAGGAAACAGTTTTACAGCTTCTTGGACAATAAATACAACGTTGATTAGCACAGTTTTTTTTTTTTTTTTCAGAAAACCTAAAGTTATGAAATTGTTTACGTAAATAGATCTAAAGGTCTGCTAGTGTGTTTCTGAATGATTCCCTTGGACTTTTTGCTCTGTTTTTCGTGGCTTCTGCTTAGGCAGTCAAGTTGCTGTTTTAGACATTTATAGAATCATGTTTACTTATTTCAGTTTTTGCTAATTCTTTTGTTGGGGACTGGGTAGTTAATAAGTTGAAAAGTGTAAAAAGTAAATAAATAAATATGGGGTAGTGAAAAAATGTGATATTCTGGTTCAGTGATAACCATCCTAAAATCCGTGCAGGATTTAGCATCTCTGCTGTGACATTTTACTAAGGTGCACTGGAAGTGGCCTTCCCAATTACGCCTACATGTGTTTTATGTTGAAGTCATATAAAGAAGTCATTGTATTATGTCTTTATTAGAGAAGTCATAATATTGGTGATACATTCTAACTTGGTAATGGCTTTTTGCTTTGAGATGGTGTCCATGTAGTTATTACATTTTTAATTTCTATTCTGAGGACAAATTTGCAGTTTATTGTCTAGCATAAGAAATGGAAATGTAATTTTTGTTTTATGACTTGTCTATCTTATTTCTTGCTCTGACATATAGAACATTTCATTCTGTTTCAGAATTTAGAACAATGAGATAGTTTTGCTGTGACCTGGGGTGGGTAATTGAATAAAGAAGGAACGGTGTATACTTTTAGCAGAGGTGACCACTACACTGAAGGATGTCTTAGAGTTTCCAGGTGAAGGGTGGAAGCACCTCCTAAGCACAGGTGGAGTTTTAAGAGAGGAACACACTTGGGAAAACACATGGCTGAGCAGAGACTTACATGCTCCATTGTTGAGGCATTTCCAAGGAATTTACAGAAGACGAAGCTCAAAGAATTGTCTGTGACTGTATTATAGAAAAGATTCTGGGAAATTGGTGGTTTTTATTTTACTTGTACAGAAATCATTTTTTGCATTCCTATAAATTAATATAAACTACGTTTTTCTGTCTTATAGATTTCAGACAAAGTCCAGTTCTCAACAATGTTGAAATCAAATGATTGCTTTTTTCCCGCGGATGATTTGTTTTACAGTAGCCCAGATGAAACTGAAAAGTAAGTGTGACTTTGAAAGGCTTATATAATGTATTCTCAGTTTTATGATTTTAGGAACTTTTAATTTTTCCCTTTGGTAACAAGAATAAATAAATAAAAGGTCAGCAGATTGACATTTCAATTTTATGTTTAGAAAACATAGAATTCAGATATATTGTACTAACTAAAGTGTATAATTTGAAGTATTATAATTTGAAAATAGATTCTGTTTTGTTACCTTCCATATTTGATTTGTCACATTAAAGCCAAGATAAAGAGTAGAAGTAATGATCAGAGAACAGCTCAGGATAAGAAGGGATCTGCTTTTCTGCTGAAACCAGGTGTGAAGACACAGTCAGCTCAGGCAGGAAGCAGAGGGAGGAGTGAAAATGTGATACCAAAGGCAACATAGTAGGGAGGGAGTCGTCTGTCAGATGCCTGCTTTTATGCTTTTTCATGTGTGGCTTGCTCCCTTCTGAGTTTTCTGTATTCTTTTTCTATTGAATTATTCTATGTTGATGAAACATTTCATTTTTTACTCATTCAAATATCACATATTGTTTGAGCATTGGAAAGGATAGGAAAAGACTGGAAAAAACCCTTTAACTGTAACTATTTTAGCTATGGTTTAGATTTAACACACACACACACACACACACACACACACACGAAAAGGCAACCAGCCAATACTGTGACCGTAACTCACATTATAGACTGGAACAGAGTGATTGAATGAGTGGATTCAGATGGGGCAATAGGAATGCATCAGGACTGACCTAGGCAGAATCTCCTGCTCATCCTTCTCACAATTCAAAATCACCAGTATGTTCAAGGGGATGATAGGTGTATTCATGCAGCGAACTGCCAGACCCGGACAGTCATCTGGGACAGATGGTCCCAGGAAAGTGTTCCACATCATGGAGGCTCTTAGGATGCTTTCAAGGATGGATCATTCTTTAACAGTAGGACAGTGTTGAAGCCAGAATATTACAGAAAATGAGAAATGATAGAGATAGGACAATTCACAGTATTTTTAGAAAACAGTGGATAGAGGTTTACTGGAGTATTTGGTTCATAAAACAAAAGCAGTGAGACATAGTCAGAAAAGTTAATTGAGGGTAGATTTTGTATGTCAAATGTCTGAATAAGATTATTAGATATGTTTCTATAATTTAAAAACTAAGAAATTAAATCATCAAGCATGTCTTGAACAACATATTTAAGTGTATAAAGCACTGTGCTAAATCCTGCTGACTTAAGTAGAAACAAACCTTAGCTGTTTACAGTCAACCTGGATTGTCAGGTTTCTCTGTTTCCATCCTTGTTTCTATCTGTTACCTGTCTACACACATGTAGAACTATTATGGAGTTCTATAAGGGCCATGAGAACTATTATTGAGTGTATATGAAGAAAGAAAGAAGACAATCTATGGAAATATCTTAGGACGTGTGGGCCTTGTCCTGGGCGTTGAGTAAATGTAAAGCCTAGTGCCTGAGACAGTACCTGGTATATAGTATCAATAAAAGTTATTGAATTGATTAGTGAATGAATAGTAGAGCTTCCTTATGGATTCAGGAGTGAGGCAGGACAGAGGCCCAAGCAAACTGAAGGAAATATCTTTGAACAGTAACAAAGAGGCACAGAATTTATTCTCTGTTTCCTGTTACATTAGTTATCTTTCATTACTGTTGAGATGAAACTATTATCACGCCTGAGATAATAGTTTGTAAAACTGTTCACAGTTGGAAGCTATGGTGTATTGGTGTACTGCTTCAGTGTGTCCCTCTGTTATATGTGAAATCATGTAATAGAGTAAACCTCACCTTGTGACAGGTAGGATGCGGAGGGACAGGAAGAAACCAAGACCACAGTATTCCTTCAGGCACACATACCTTAATGGCCTAACTCACACCTGTGGACTCTCACCATCTCCTAGCCCAACTATGCCTTTAACACATGGGCCCATGGGGACATTGTACTTGATTAGTTCTGTCAATGTGACACGATTTTGAATCATGTGAGTAAGGAAACTTACTGAGGAAGTTGTCTAGGTTAGGCTGCTCTATGAGCATGCCTGCAAGGGGTTTTCTGAAGGCTTAGTTGCAGTGGGAAGGCACCCTGAATGGGGCAACCCCATGTCTCAGGCTGGGTCCTAGACTGATGGAGAAAGCTAGGTGAGTGCAAGAATGAGCGCCTTTAACTGTCCTTTGCTCTTGACTGGGGCTGTAATGTAGCCAGTTCTTTCATGCTCTTGCCTCCTTGACCTCCCTGCTATGATGGACTTGAACCTGGGATTGTGAGCGAAAATAAACCCTTTTCCCTTAATTTGCTTTTGCCATAGCAACAAGAAAAACAAAACTAAGATGGACAACACATCTAAACTATAGCAGATGTACAAGAAACATCTTAGACATCTTAGGTTGGACTAAATGTTATGCATAGGATAATGGGAACTTTTAATGTGCTCTAAGCCCATTTGAGGGAAATTTGGCATTATTTTGATGCTTTTGAAGGATTTTTAATGTAGTAGTATGATTTTAAAAACAAAGTTGATATGGATACCTCAGAAATTGTTCTTGTATAGAAAGTAGAACTGTATACTGAGTCACATGGCTCATTCTGGGATGTGTTCCTGAGACCCTTGGACATCATTCTAACTTTTAAGTGTTATCCTATGGTTAGCAGTTCGTCAAACATAGATAACGCACTATAGTTTTTATTAAAAAAAAACAAAAACAAAACAAAAAAGCCCCAAAAAACTATGGCCATAGTAGTTACAGTTGGGTTGTGAGAGGTAGAAAAGGAAGACTGTCCCTTCAAGCTGAACCTCCTAAACTTACGGGAGAGGGGGAAGAAAGCCCTGGGACTGAGTATCTGTGCTAATGGTGTGTGGTGCTCTTCTCAAATCCAGTTCCTGGTGTCCACATCTCTTTGTATTAATAAAAAAGGAGATACTGCTTGGAAAAGAGCACTAAGCAGTGTTAGTTAACCGTCACAGCTGAACTAGAGGAAGGTGCCAGCATGGGCAACAGTTGCCAGTTCCTGCCGGTTTCTGTTGTTGTCACAGTTTTCTGTGATTTATGACAGTTCTAGACCATAAAGCACTAATTTTTAACGGTTGTGGGAATAGTCTAGGTCATCGTGGTAACATTTATGTGTTGGTAGTCCATGATGATAGGTGAGGTGTGTCACAGGTAAATTAAAGTTTGAGTGAGGGAGCATGAGGAGGAGTTACAGCCATCACTCAGGTAGTATTCCTCACACAATGTCATTAGTCATGTGACACAGGGAGAAGATGCTAGGAGCATTGTCGTAGGGACAAGGCAAACAGTGTGGTTATGGGCTGTTGGTCCGAGTTTGTGTTTGAGTGATGTTTAGTAAGCAGATGGTTTTTGGTAGCTCCTCCTTCTTAAAATAGAAATTCTCAGCTGCAACGTTGTGTTTTCTACAGCTTCCCAGTTAAGCAGAAGCCACTGCATTGGTTTCTCCCTCCAGCTCCGCTGATTGCAGAAATTCCAGACATTCAAGACTTAGAGGAAGAAATTGAAAACTATAAACTATTAGGTAAATCATCACATTTCGTGTGAGGCCAAACTCATACAGGTTATATGAGCATAAAAAATCTACATGGTGCACAGTCACTGTCACACTCCCCCTCCCCCACATTTACATGGTGCACAGTCACTGTCACACTCTTCTGCTTTCTGAGTAGTTATTCCTCTCACTATGGAGGCCTTTGTTCTGCACTAAAGGTCGAGTCTTAGGAGCCAAGTCTCTGAAGTGTACTTAGTGAAAAGACTGATGTGCAGATGGTAAGGAACAGTCCGTGATGTCACACAGCATTTGCTGAGCGCACGCAAGAGCCTGACTCATCCCCAACACTAAAACATTCCCACAACAGGCAAGCTCACACAATGTATGTTTCCCATGTGATAACATTTATTTTAAACCTTAGTGTTTTGTTATGACTCATGATTTACATATGGATTTGTGTAGTCTCTCTCTTTTCAATACAAAGCCTCACTGTGTAGCTTTGGCTAGCCTGAAACTCACTGTGTAGATGAGCCCCAGACTCACAGACATTGGCCTGCCTCTGCTTCTAGAAATAACCATCTGTTTCATGCCTACAGAAGTACAGATTATCTTATTACTGAACTGATTCTTTTAACCTTATCTTGTAAGCTCTCTGGAAACATTTTACTTTTGTTACATTTAGGGGTGAGAGGGGCTGGGTACTGCCACGGTGTTTGTGTGGTCAGAGGGCAGTCTGTAGGAGTCTGTTCTCTTCCTCCACCATGTGTGCTTGGGAATAGGACTCAGGTCATCAGGCTTCACAAGCAGAGACTTTCACCCCTGAACCATGTCACAGCTTAGAAACTGTTAACTGAGATTTTTATCATTAGTTAGAAAAGTTGTTTTCATGAAGAACATATAATAATTAATAATTACTATACTTCTTTTCTCCTAGGACAAGGAAAGTTTCCAAAAACGGTAACATCAAATTTGAAGATCATTAATGAAGACAAAAATTGTATTTCACCAACACAAAGATTCCATTTTCCTTGTAAAGCACATAAATGGGATTACCTAAACTTAGGAGGATCGAGTAACAGTGATAGGTCCCACTCAGCTGACAAGCTGGTGTATGACTCTTCTCAGAAACATAAAACCTACATTGGCACTGAGAGTCCACCTGCAAAGAGTGGTCCTGGTGACACAAAATTACTTAATGCTGCGGAAGATAGAGGACAGGGACCATCAGCATTCAAAAGAAGGTAACAAGTTAGTTAAGTAATACTCAATGAGCAAACATGAATATTAAGAAGACTCTGAAGAGAGTTAGGGATAATAGGAGGTAGAGGGGAAAACAGTCACAACAGATACATATGTGCTGGACATTACCAGACTTGGAATTCATAGGAGTCTTAGGTTCTTGCCTTTCAGGAGCTTAAGGTTCACTGAAGGCATGGAGAGTGAATAACTAAAAATAACTCATTAAATGTTTTGTAGTGTGACAATTTAAACAATTATTGTTAGAGCAAAGATTCTCAAATGTTTCTTATTGGTACTCTTTAATATTTAAAATTTACTGAGGAATCTCAGTTTTTGCTTAGGTGGATTTTGTCTATTAATACTTAGCCATACTGAAAGTTAAAACTGAAAGCTAAAGTAATTTTGGTTCATTTTAAACGCACTTCTAGTTAACTAATCGTATGTGTGTGTGTACATACACACATACATATATATAGTGGTGGTTTTATTTTGAGACAGGATCTCATTATGCAGCCCTGGGGTAGTAGGGCAATGGAACTCACTATGTATAGACCAGGCAGAGCTCAAAATTGCAGAAATCTTGCCTTCACCTCCCGAGTACTGGCATTAAAGGCATGTGTGGCCAGGCTTGCTCTAAATCATGTATTTCTGGCTATCCTCCACAATGACCCTTTTCACAAATCAGTGGGTGAGTACATTAATAGTAATGAGACAAGCCAGGGGCAGACACTGACCTTATTATGTGATCTCACATATGTTAGCTTCTTACTGCTGTTACCATACCTAAGAACAACAACTTGAAAACAGAAAACATTTATATTAGCAGGCCAATTTTGACCTACTCTGTTCTTGTTCTCTCTTGGTTTTGGGAATTTCTGTACCTGAGCCTTTTGAGAGCTGGGATTATTTTAGCTTACATTTCTGATTGTGTTTCTTCTTCAAAAATTATTTCTCTTGGTTTTGAGATTATAATAAATTATATCATTTCCCCTTCCTTTCCTCTCTCTAAACCTTCCCATATACCCCTCATTGCTCTCTTTCAGAAGCAGTCTCTAGTTTCATTAAATGTTGTTATATGCATATATGTATATACATACATATATTCCTGAATACATAAAAGCAACCCATTCAGTCTGATTATGTTACTTGTATGTATGTTTTCAGGGCTGACCATTTGGTATTGGATAACCAATTGGTGTGCGCTTGCCTGAGGAAGACTATTTCTCCCATTCTCGCCATTCCTTAGTTGCCTGTGGTTCTTTGTGTAGGACTGAGGCCTCCTGGCTTCCTCACTCCTGTATTCCTGTTAGCATGTATGTTGTTGTCCTTGTGCAGCTCATGTTTCAGCTCATGTTGGTGAGACTTTATGGTGTAGCTTCTGACATTCTTATGAAACACACTCTCACAACAAAGCCCCTGATTCCCTGGCTCTCACAGGCTCTCTGCTTCCTCTTCCACAATGCTCCCTGAGACTTCGGTTCAGGAGGATGTTGTCGGTGTAGCCATTGGAACTAGGCTCTACAGCTCTGCATTTTGATTACTTGTACTTTTTTTTAGTAGTCTCAGTCTGTTGAAGAGTTTTCTTGATGAGGAATGAGGACTGCACTTCTCCCTGGGTGTAAGGGTTGACAGATGTTTTGAGTGATGTTAGGGGTGTGCTGGTTTAGTAAGGTGGTTGTAGATTATCCATCAAGATCTGACTTCACTAGCCCTGGATAGTTGGCTAGATTTCCTGTAACAGCGTGATTTCTTTTCTGGTGAGTGGGTCGTACAAACCAATTAGAGATGTGAGGCCCGCCAACAAGTTGGAGGCCACTGCTGCCATCGTTAGGGTTATCATGCTGTGCTGGTCACTGTGGTTCGTAAGTGTCAGAGCTGGCTGAGACTGTTTGCTGCCTCTCTCCCATGGGAGTTTGCATGATGCCTTCTGGTAACACAGAAGCTACTCTTTAGGGAGGAAGATTTCAGGTCACATCTAGTTTGTATATTTCTGTATGTCTTTTTTTTTTTTTTCAGTCCACCTTTAGTCACAGCTATGTCCTTGTTTCTTTTGTTACCTGTTTCTGTTTACTTTGACTCCTCTATTTATCTAATCATTTTATTGTAGTAAATTTAAAAAAGGAGTATGGGATATGTAATATTTACTATTAGCCCTAGGATGATCACAGCAGTATTATCTAACCCACTAACACAAATAATAAGACACAGACAGCTGTTAATTTATAATTGCCTTGTTTGCCGTGAGCTGGATAGATATTTCACCTATGCTGTCTCAGCATCCTCACCATGTCCCAGCCCCCATCCAATGCCATCCAGCTTAATCATCCTCATCTGGTCTACCTTCCATAAATAAGCCCATGGTACTTGCTTATATTCTTTATCTGGACCTTTCCTCACCATCACTGGAGTCCTTTCTCCATGCCCACAGTCTTTTCTCCTCTCTTCCTATCTGTCTGTCTCCCATTATTATCTCCTGAACCCAGAAGCCCGGGAACCTTAGCTACGCCAACCCCATTCTACCCTGCCAAGGTACAGGCCATTTAATTAGCCAGTCAGGTAGGTTTACACAACAGACAGGTATCCAGACCTTGAGGACTAGTAACATGCATCAGACAACCCTCCAACACCACTTGTTTTCTTCATTTCTTATCAGACCCCAGGAGCTTCTGTCTTAATACACATAGTAATATCAGTAATTTCTGTATTTCCTAAAATGATTAGACTTGTGGATATTATTATTTAATTGATTAGTATATTTTCATATTGAGGTTGTGCTTTGACTCCCTGTGCCATTTTATATTTAAAACATTAACTCTAAAAAAAAAAAAAAAACAGAAACATAATCTTATTGGAATAATAACATATTTCTCAATAGAATTTTAAAAGCAAGAAGCCATGGAATGAGTTGTTTCAGTCTCTCAAAGTTACTAACCAACAATACAGATTACTATATCCAGGACTGTTGGTCATAATTTTAGGAGAGAGACTTTCCACAATGAAAATAAATAAATAAATAGATAAATAAATAGAATAAGCCATCCCACTAAATCAACACTATATACAATACTTTAAGGAATTCTCTAGATAAGGACAATAAACACATTCCTAAGGTTGTGTTTATAGGAAGGAAACCCTACACAGAAACAATAATTAAATAAATGCGGGATAAGAAAACACCAAACACTCAAAAACCAGCAAAATAAAAGTAATTAATGCACATCTTTCAGTAATTAAATATTAATGATATTAATTTCCTAATCAAAAGACAAATAGATAACATTTTTTGAAAAGGATACAGAGGTGGGCATAGTGGCACATACCTTTAATCCCAGCACTTGGGAGGCTGAGGTAGGCAGAGCTTTGTAAGTTCAAGGCCAGCCTGGTCTGCGGAGAGAGTTTCAGAACAGCCAGAGCTGTTTCTGACAGACAGATCCTATCTCGGGCAAACAGACGTCATCATCGTAATAGTGCTACTACTACTGAGGAAAGACGAGAAAAACAGATCAT